CAAAGGTACTGGGTTAAGATTTGCTAAATCGTAGAGAGAGAGAGAGAGAGAGAGGGGGAGGGAACAACGTTGACTTGGCACAAACAAGGTCATTTCGGGACTAAAATATGACCCAATTTTATTTCAATAATTATTGTGCGAGTAGGGATCTTTAGCAGTGGGAGGAAACCGGAAGACCTGGAGAAATAACATGAGGTTGGATGAGCGGCTAATCGACACCACATCGCTTGACTCATTTTAAAAAAATGACAGAATCGCCCACAAGCAGCAATAATGAACTGATTACTAACGAATGTATACTATACGTTTGTTAACAATTCAACCAGAGTGATTCAGAAAATTCTAGTTAAAACTGTTTAAAAGCTGTAAAAATCAAGACGTAAATTAGGAAGCTGTCGAAATTTCGGATCCGTCTTCTTTCGCAAGTCAAAATGTTAACCAATTGGGCTAAAGAAGACGTGTACAAACATTGCAATGTCAATGGCGTGAAAGTTTGCCATATATGGGAAATAAGGCCTTCCGTCCTGCACCACGGACAAGATTATATCTGTGGGAACTTTCTCGGTTAACAACGGGACTGCACAAGAAAGCTGTGTGTGAACCAGTCCATACTCACCCACTGTCGACACAGTACATTAAACACAAATTAGTAAACAAGACGACTCTATTAAAATCGTTTTCCTAGTTATATACACCTTCATCATATTTTGCTATGTCTGTTTCATCTAAAAGGAATGTTGACGGAGTAAAATTAGACACCATTCAGGGTTGGTCATTTATGAGTTTCAAAAGAAATTCGATTGCAGACAATTGACACAAATACCAGTGCACAATGATGGAAAACAAGCGTTTGGCATGCAAGATACGCACACATTTTGCATCAGAACAGGGAAGATCAATAGGAGTCAACCCTTCATTGTTCCAATGTTTCAAATCGAACTTGGAGAATAAATAAGTTAAAAACATATTCAGGATTTACCATTATAATAAAGTCTTTCATACACATGCTGACAAAGTTTTAGTTTTAAAAATAGTATCCTAATTGGTCGACGCTATTGCATAGTTTTGGGGAACTAGCCCAAATTGGGGACAATAAAAAATGATGAAAATATACATTGTTTAATATGTTGAAAGTGAATGTACAAGTTGTAAGATGTGGTGTCTCTATAGTGTTCATTATAAAACACAAAAATAAAGTTGTTTGTTCTGTAATACAAGTGTATTTCCTAAATAAGTGAATGTGAATTAACAGCCAATGCTATATATTAAACAATAAGTTTATTTTTGATGAGCACCAGAATCAAACACATTTAAGATCTTTTGGTCGTCAACATATTTGTTAAGTTTCATTTGAATCCGACAAAACATTTAGTCTCTGCAGGGTCAACAAACTTGATACATATTTCACATTCTTCGTCAAAGGCAAGGGATGTAACTCCAGAACTGAAGGTGCGATGAACAGCAAAATTGAACTCATCCAAGAACTTTTGATATTTAACACATATTTTAAGTTTCATCCAAAGGAAATTCGAACTCAATCGTAATTATGGCGTTACGGTGATTTATCACCCAATAATACATTCTACAGTAGATATCGCTTGTGGGATAAATTTCATAATCTACTGCGATGAACAGCAAAATTGAACTCATCCAAGAACTTTTGATATATAACACATATTTTAAGTTTCATCCAAAGGAAATTCGAACTCAATCGTAATTATGGCGTTACGGTGATTTATCACCCAATAATACATACAGTAGATATCGCTTGTGGGATGAATTTCATAATCTACTGCAATATCTCCTTGAGAGATATCGATTTACATGAATTTGATTAGTTAGTTAAAAAGGAACTACTTTTTTGTATTTTCAAAGAACAGTTCATTTTTTATTAATAGTAACTCCCTTTTTTTAAAAAAAATGAATTATGTTTATTTAATTGACTTTGATGGAAACACTGGGTCAATATAAAGGACTTTGCAATGGTTGAATTGCTGTCAAAAATGATGTATCACTACGCAGTAATGTAATTAAGTTCAGTAAAAGTGAAGTCTATAGCAAATAATTATATTTATTTATTTGTGCACGTAAGAAAGGATTGGGTGATAAATAAAATCACCTACTCGTTTTTGTTTTTTTTTATATCAAAAAATATCAACACTCGTTGATAAAGTAAAAAAAACCAACTCGGCAGAGCCTCGTTTTTCGTTACTTTATCAACTTGTGTTGATATTTTTTGATATCAAAAAAAGACGAGTAGGATATTCTCTCTATATATAAACGGTTTATAAAATCAAATAAATCTTAACCTCTAGAAGATGCACAACTAAAGAGGGACCAACTAAAAACGCGATTGTTCGTACAATCAAGGGCCATAATTCAGGAAGTTACGATCTGATATCGAAGGGAACTAAGGTCTTTGGGTTATAAACATACATTTCAAGTTTCATCAAAATCGGATCAAAATTGTGAACTCTAGAGGGACCACCACGACGGGCGTCCATTTTGTCCTGTAGTTTTGGTCAGATTTTTACGAAATTCGAACTCAACCGACAGTGACCTCTAGAGCAACCAGGGGCCATAATTCAGGAATTTACGATCCGATATGTGCGAAAACCGGCAGGAACCAAGATCTTTGGGTTGAGTTATAAACATGTATTTCAAGTTTCATCAAAATGAGATGAAAATTGTGACCTCTAGAGTGTTCACAAGCTAAAAACGTGATTTTTCGTACAATCAGGGCCCATAATCCACGAAGTTATGGTCCAACACATGGTCTCAGACTAGCAATATAGTTCGAGTTATAAATTGACAATTTTTCCCTTAATTTTTTCTCCCTCTTCCTTCATTTTTTGATTGAAATTGTGATCTAGAATAGCAGAAAAGGGATCAAATTTGCAATTTCATAGCAGTTCGGGGTAATACTGATGACATTACAGTGGAGGGATAGGGGGTGTCAAGTGTCTTTCTGCAGAGCAATCATTGTGTCGGAAGTGAGAATTTTCACCCCAGTCAACATCAAATCCCAGCAGCAAAAAAATCAAAACGGCCAGCCCCCTACAAAATTATGATGATGAGATTGACAAATGTGGTCCCCATTGTGCCTATAAAGATTGGAACCAACGGAATGTTGAGCAAAAAGAAAGCTACAGCCTGTGATATTACAGCCATTTAACATTGAAGACAATGGACAAATAATTGCTAGTCTGGTCCACATGCCAATATCAAAAGGAACCAAGAATTTTGGGAGATAGACCTATATTTTAAGTTTCGCCAAAATCAGATAAAAATTTGATTTGAAAACCATCTTAGAGCTGATAAATCCTAGGACTTGTTACATTGCTGAACTGATCCCTGAATGACTAAAGTACTGGAAATATTGCTGAAGTCAGGGTTGTCTCTCCTGTACAATTGTGCGTAGACATTTTTTCTGTAGCATGTAGACTGATTTGGTGTGGTTAGCAGCTTGTGTATTTCCGCAGGGGCTAGGCCTACTGTTACTTCTGTCAGTCAAGGAATGATTTCAACCGGATGTCGACGCTGAAAACCCAACGTTGTACGCATGATGCTTAACATTACAAAGTTCATGTAAACAATGAAGACTAAAGGAAGTATTAGTTATATAAGCTGTTTGACTTAAATCAAAAACTTTCAGCTAGCTCTTTTAAATCACAACCGCCACAAGAAAATATTGGAGATACTATATTGAGCATTATTTTCGTCAAAAATGATAAAATTCCCAATTAATGAGCGAGGTTGTCCACCCGTGCTCTTGTCAAGTTTAAATTCAAGGGAGGTAAGTCTATTTTTTTGCGATTAGCCTTAGCACGTAGTTCTAATCCATGGCCAGTGGCGTTCGTTCCTTAACGTCCGCTTCCACACCTTGAGTGATATCACAAACAAGTGTTTCCCGAGAATCTTCCCAGGGGAGCAAAAGAATAGGCTTAGTCTCGTATAGGTTGGAGACGAGAGATCGATTTGGGCAACATTGCCTATTGCAGGGTAGCGACCAAGTTAATTTTACCCCAAGGAGACAATAGCAAAGATGGAATGCGTGAGCACCAGCAATCTGGCTCGCGTTACCATCAATGATATGGTCTTGCCGTGGTTGGATATATAACACCTCTTCCAGACAAGTATAACGAAATTTTGAACTATAAAATACGAAACGAAATAGGATGTGTTTTAATCCGATTGGAGACACACAAATTACGTTAACTATAATAATATCGGGCTTTTCTTTTTGTTCCAAATCATAAAATAATACATATGTAATATCGTGTGGACATTCACGGTACTGCTAAATAGACAAAATAGTGGGCGGCGTCCTTCTTGCTATCTAGTATCTCGGAGTTGCCTTTGCCTTAATGTACTTTTAGTACAAACCTGTATGATCAATTATGTAATATGATTTCACGGTGAGAGAGATCAATGTTGATATCGTAAACAATTCCAGTTGCAGACAATGGAATAGGACCCAATAATGCAATAGTGTACAGGTGATTATAACCCGGGCAGTGTTTTAAATATCGGAATCAATCGCTAATGACTCGGCATTACACATTAGATTAGGATCGCTTGTGCTTGAGATTTATTATTCCCGTTTTCATTGTTACATTTGGTGTAGGAGGTAGAAATATCTTATAACAAATCTTTATAAAAATGCTTATGTAATTCTACCTTTGTAATAAACACTTGTACAGAGAGATATTATTCATTATATAATAAAACAGGTAAGAATCAAATTTATATAAACAAAACAAGAAAAGAAATGGTATCAAAATGTTAAGACATGACTTCGTTACAATATGGATTCCACGGCGGGCACCTTTGGTTACAATAAGGGTTCCATGGTGGACACATTGGCCTCACTGATCTCGAGGTCTGACAGGTTCTACCACATATTAAGGAACTGCAACATTTATCATCACCAGGGCAATCGTAGTCCGTAACACACCGATTCATGCACCTCGATCGCAATGGGTATAATTCAAGTTGCCTTGAACATGTGCCCTGTTTTACAGATCGCAGCATCGAGGATGGCTCTTGACAAGTTTTACCACACCCGTTACTGCAACATTTCCTATTGCCAGGACATTCGTCATCGTTAGAACACGCCTCAACACATATCCCCATCATACCAGATCTTGGAGGTGCGCATACACCTGGTTTCACTCTTCTAGTTACTGTCAAAATAAAAACGGGTTGTTAGTGGGTTTGGAGGCGTGGGTTGTGGTTACTGCCAAAATGTAAAGGGTTGTTAGTTGGATGCTTATTGGGGTCAATTGGAAGACGTGTGTTGTAAGCCTTTCAATTTTAAGCTTACTTTTGGATACCTTCGAATAAGTCACATTATTGGGTGTTCACAAGCAGCTGACTCGTATCCTGTCGACAACCAGACAAGGGTTCATGAAGCTAATTGACGAAAGCCAATACTCCTCCTCGAGAACCACATCCCACATCAGCATAACTGGACCCAACGGACATCAACCAAGAGACACCATCATCAGCACCTCAGAACAGAATCATGGTGACTAGCATAGGCTATGGAATACGTGTGGAGCTGTAAAAAAAACTTACCAGGTTGACAAGACGCTATGGGTGGACAAGGTGCTCTGATACACTGTACCTGTGTCAGCTTACATTCCGTTCCAAATCCACATCGCATTGTCTGTAAACGTAAAATGGAAATTTGTTATTTTTAACGCCCATCTACGTGTATATTTCCGTCCAACGAATAATGGCCGAGGTTCTCTTAAATACAGACTTCCGTTAGAAAGCATTAATAGAGACAAAAACTGCATTTGATGAAAAGTTATTAAGTGTACTTACGCTGCATCGATCTAAAAGCTCAGTATTGCCAATTCGTAGTCCCAAACTACCGGTTAAACAGAAAACCTGAATTAAGAAGAAAAGAAAACATCCGCAACATAATAAAATACAATTCAAATATACAGGTGGCTTAGTCAACGCCAGATAGCCAGCAGAAGCTAAAATGGTTTTCTCTATTAGAAATATTATGTTAAAGCAACCATGTAGATTTATTGCGATAGGGTTCAACCTCAAATCTGGGAATCACTTGGCTAAGTGGGTAATAAAATACAATTCAAATATACAGGTGGCTTAGTCAACGCCAGATAGCCAGCAGAAGCTAAAATGGTTTTCTCTATTTGAAATATTATGTTAAAGCAACCATGTAGATTTATTGCGATAGGGTTCAACCTCAAATCTGGGAATCACGTGGCTAAGTGGGTAAGACGCTGGCTCGCTAGCCTGGAGGTCGGGTGTTCGATCCCTGCATTGGCAGAGAAAGTTCATCCCGATTTTCCTGCGTGGTTTCCCCTTGTCAGTGATGCAGGACGGAGGGCCTGACAAGGACAGCTGTCTAGTCGTTCGGATGGGACTAATAACCGAGGTCCCGTGTACACATTGGCGTGCACGTAAAAGATCCCTTGGCAGTTGGAATTCGATATAAGAGTAGGTCGTAGCGCCGCTGCCCGGGCAAAATTTCCCTCATAGCACACTGTATGGCGTATGCCCGTCTTCATTAGCCCAGGTTAGGAGTAGGACGTTAAACCCCATTTCATTTCATTTCAACCTCAAATAATTAGTGTAACTCTCCCTGGAACTTTGGGCACACATCTAAACAACTGGCCATATAGAGAGTCAGTAACAGGGTCATTTAATCTGAAAACAAGATGCGTGATTCTGAATTTCGATAGCGTTCATAATGCAAGGAGGGGCGACGACCACATTAACAGGGTGTATAATATATGGTAATTATAAGTATCTATCGACCAAACAGATAATGCGACACATTACGATTGTTAAGAATGAAAACCCGATGTCCTATTACAATACACTAAAAGGGTGACAATTCTACCATGCTGTAAGGACCATACCAAAGGCTACCATCACGTGGAAAAACACAAAATATAAGTGTTTCTCCTGCACTTTGGATTACTGGGCTTGATTACACAACTTGATGAGGGGTTATTATTTTCACCACGAAAATAAATGTATTTAATATTGGATAATATATTTTAAACAACCGACAACTCACCAAATTATCGCAAACCAATGCACTACCTAAATGTCTGCAGATCATAATACTAAACATTTAAACAGGATCTTCTACCGTGGAGTTCATCACCATTATTCATACATGTATGTTTCTCGACAGTGATTCTGATTTCCAACCGACACACATTCCCACCGTTACGAATTTCTAGTATAGAGCAGGTTTATGTCTGAATAACATTTTAAATGCAAAGTCAAACGTTTTTAACATTTTAAAATTACTTACCAGTGTGATTGTAATTTCGACTATCATCTTCGGTGAATAAGTAAGAACTGATTTGTTAACTGAAAGTAAAGGTTAATCATTTTAGACAGACAATACGTACATCCTGTTTACACTGTTTTCTATTGGATGCCCCATTTTCTTAACGTATGTCACATTATGTATACGATAAGTCAACGAGCAATGTTAATAAAGATAAAACCCTCATTTATCAATTTATGGGGTAATTGACAGATGACGCTTGAAGTGGATTATGCGTGAACCCAGCCATCCGGATTCTTTACGAGATGCGAAGTATTTAATTAATTAATGCAACTATTATCTTTATCAACATTCATAGTTGGTTGGTAAATAATGTTAAGGCATGCACTTATTTAAACTGAATTTTCTGACTAATTCCTCCCACATCTTCTAAAAGTAGTAGGCCGTTAAACCCCATTTCACTGCTGACTCTACTGGGGCGTCTAGGGAATATTTCAACGCGTGCGGTTTAGATCTTACCCGCTTTTGTGCGTGACAAAGAGTAGGGGCGTCTTTTCCACCCCACCCCAACTAACCCAACCCAACCCATCTGTTAGTCCATTACCTATGAAAGAGGAGGGATAGAAGTGGGGTTTAACTTCCAATCGACACAAACCAGGTCATTTCGGGACTAACATATAGTTCAATTTTATTTTAATTATTCGCTTGCTCGTAGGGGTCTTTAGCAGTGGGAGGAAACAGGAGGAGCCGGAGAAAACCCACGAAGTTGGACAGGCGACCCCACTCCTTGTAACGTACAGCCGGGGAATCGAAACCACACTAATTCCTAGCTTGTACGTGACAAGGAGTATGGTCGCCTGTCCGATCTCGTTCGGTTTCCTGCGACTGCTAAAGACCCCTAAGCGCAAACTAATTTATTGACATAAATGACCTAGTTTGTTTCCAGTGGACGTTAAGCCCAATTTGTCAAAGCATATTTTTTCTCCTATATTAAGGAAATAACGTCGACCAAAGTACCGTGAAAAGCAATGCCTCCACTGAAAATATATTACGTGAAGGGATTGGTACGATGTACGGAGTTAATTGGAGATTACAAGCCTTCTACTGAAGGTCAAACGCCATCCCCACACATATTCTCTATGTTGATCGGCTTGAATATCAAATCGTGTATTGGAAAAATGCAGCGGACTATTAAAAAAGGTTCGAATCTGGTTGTTTAACCATAACAGCAGAAACTGAATATCAACACTAAGATTGAACATTCATTTTACCTCAATTAAAAACCTGGTTTCAATAATTGTGTTCTATAACTACATTACATTTTACGTAGTATATTGGAGCCACGGTGTTCTTGCAACAGGTGTATAATAAATTGGTAGTAATGTCTGTTAAATGCATATCGGCCATCTGATATTCTAACAATTGACAGTTATGGCAATTATGCCAATCAAATAGCCGATTTATCGAACTCTTACTTTCAGAATTTGACAGATCTGACATATTAGTTGGTTTCTGATTTGTTTTCGGGCACCATATTGGAAAGTCTTTATTTAAAGTTCCCGTTGGTCCCAGGAATATTTAAGTATGAAAATATATGTAGCTCTATTAGTGTTATTACTTAAATATCTAATTCCAAAATTTACCCTGACGTAAGTTTTAGATACTGATTTTAATAATAGGATTTTCTTATCTATACCCAGTGCTGCTGTTAACAATATTAACTTATACAATATTATTACTATGCTTCCAGGCACAGATAACTTATATAATAATATTACTATCCTTCCAGCCACAGATAAAGGAAACATGGCGGTTCTACTCGACCCATTGCACTTTACATCCCACACTATTTAAAAACCTACAAGAATTGCGAGGTGTAATTAATTATCAAACGTCTTTATAAAAGACAAAATATGTGCAAGTAATTTATGATTGTCATCTACTTATTTCTGGGTTGATGCAGGGGGCGGGGAATTATCCGAACTGTTGGCTTGTACATTTAATACTGGTAAAAACAAATGTCAAACTTCAACGGTATATGTATGAAGCAGAAGCAGCTAATTAACAAAAGGGGAATTACTGTAAAACATGAAATTATTGCGAGCATGAAATTATTGAGAAAATTGCGAGCGAGGCCCTCTCGCAATAATTTCATGTTCGCAATAGTTTCGTGTAAATTCGTTAAAATGTCGGCCATATTGAATTACTCCCCCTTCATTACTCTTCACAAGAAAGAGTCCCAATAAGTACATTAGAATCTGTATGAGCAGCCACTCCTATTCAGCGACATCTGCTTGTAAGCGGTCACGATAAATTCCCCCCGTAAAAATTCTGTTGTTTCATCTCTTTACTCAATGGTCACTCCTCTAACGCGGCCAGCGGTCACTATTTTACAAATAAATTTAACAAAACATCGCCCATTCAACGGCCATTGTTGAATGTTGCCATCTTGTCGTTCTTTGTAACACCCCTGCTAATCCCGTGAGTAGTGGTTAATTAACTGGACCCCCACTGATCAGGTAAAAAGAAATGTAACCCGGGATTATCTATTAACAAATCTTTTGTTTTATTAAACAACTAGCCTGGTCATTGTTTTCACGCGTAACCACACATTATTTGATACTGATTGAATAAAATAAAAGTACCGAGTCTTGTCACGATCATCTAGTATCTCTTTTCCATTGGCACTTTATTGTTAAACAGACGCGTTAGTGCCTCCTATAATATTACATACAGAGTTACCCCCCCCCCCCCCCCCCCCTGTAAATAGGAGATAAAATTAGCGGTGTTTGTTTGTTCATGTGCTTTTTTTTGATAAAATAAAATTAATTCGTCGATTTTCTTCACAAAAATGGATAAATGTTATCGAATGCATCACAAGGGTAGACAGTAGTATTGAAGGTTGGTACAAAATGACAAGTTTACACTATTCGCTGTTACTAATGATCACCAATCAACCGATGTTTTAAAGAGCCGACTGTCACCTCAAAGCTATAATCCACAATAGTTGTTTATTTACTGTTACTAATGATCACCAATCAACCGATGTTTTGAAGAGCCGACTGTCACCCCAAAATTAACAATCTACCACATTTTATAGACAAATTTACTAAAAAAAAAATAATTTTTTCCCCACTATAGAAATTCGCAATAATTTCACGTCGCAATTATATTTCACCACCCCAACTCGCAATAATTTCATGTTTTACAGTAGTAATTATCTTTTTCAGATATTGTTGGGAATAGACAAAGAGATTTGTCAATCCCTGGTTTGATAGTTATTTATTGACGGCCCCCGTGGTTCAAACTGTATGGCGCTGGATCACTAACCAGAGGGTCCTGAATTCCATCATCGCTTGTTTCAACCCGTGACGGGACCTGGCAAAGACAAACGTTTAAACTTCCGGGTGGCACAAAAAAAAACAGGTCTCGTGTAATTCTATTGGCAGTCCGAAAAATATCCACTGACATATATGGAAAAACGAGTAGCACTGCATGGTTTGTATCCCTCTTCATCATTGTTGTTGGTGCAGGAAATAAGATCTTTAAATAACAAACTAATAAGGTCCACAACATAAGTTTACTGTCGGTTGTAGAATTGTTGAAAATTCATGGTAATGTTAGTCTAAATATTTCTAAATATCACCATTTCCATGCATACGAAACATTTAGTATAGTGTATAAGGTCCATCAGAGAGTGATAAATAGTTTGATTGCTACCTGCTTATAAAAAGACAAATGCACAATATGAGTGATATCTGTTTAGTTTGGGGCTGAATATCTCGTAGTTGACTTGTTAGTTTGATTTATGTAACAACTAACAAGAATGTTCTAATAAATGACATTTATTTTCCAACTATCATTTAGTAAGTCGAATATGTTACAGTGGGAATGTTAAGACGTAATACTGCAAATTGCGATTCCACACTACCACTAAACTATCCTAAACAATATCACATAGACTTAAATACTTCAATATTAAAAGGTACTCCCTTAGAAATCAAGCCTGAAATAAATACCAAAATTACAAGTGACTTTTATTATGGATACACGATTTAAAAAGAAAGCATGTATAGCCTTGGATACAAAGTGAATATAAATAATGTTTTAATAAATATTAGATACTTGGTGTATGTGTGTTGGGGGGGGGGGGGGGTATCGGTAAGAGGCACTGAAGCACTGCATTTGTGTCGGGTGCACTTAATAAATCTACAGAACTGAATTTGGTAAGGAAGATTTTAAGCAAATATCCAGGATACAGTCCTATTCATCCAAGAGAAAGAATTTCTGTCTTTCTGCAAGCGTTCTGACACATCCGTCCACAATGACCCGAGAAACAACATTTCTGACCACCAGAACAATTACTATCAATAGAACATGGCTGAGCACATCTTTTCACTCTTAATCTTGCCGTCACTCTCTGGGTTGGTTGGGGCTAAAATATAAATTAATACAATTAATATGAAGGTTGATTAATACTTCGGGGTTCTTTGGTTAACTTGCCTTGTGATCTATATTGACGGTACAGAATTGTATGAAGATTAGTGAACTAATACTCCAGAACTTGAAATATTAAACAAATATGACCGAATCAATGGATGGCCGATCTGGGCAGAAAAAAAACCTTTAGGAATTTCTGTAAAAATAGGAAAAACGATAAATATTGTTTTATTGGAAATAAAATCTGTAAATATCAGTATAGGTGGTTGATCAGCTTACAAGGTTTTAAAATTTTATCTCAAATATATTGTAAGTTATTCTGCGAAAACAGTCCTATTATTATACCAAACTAGTTTGGGAGAACATTATATGGGTAAGCGTATTTCAAACGGTAAACACAAGTTATGACAAGCGGACACGTAGACGGTCAACACCGGTCGCTCTAACTTAGTTTACATTAATAAATATATTCAACCAACTTACAGCATAAGGATATGGCAAAGCAGTTGTTACTGTTGATACAGCGAAGCAAAATGCCTGAAAGATAAATAAATACATTGACGATCCTCTGAAATCAAGATAACCATGAAAAACGATTTTTAAAGCAAATAAAGATGCATTATGTAAGAGCTAAAGTTGCCAATCGCCGGCCCTTTTTTGGCTTCAAATGTTATTAAACATTGATTAGCATGCCACACCCATAATCAACTCTAATGGCTCAGAATATAAGTAGATTAGAACACAAAGGTCATTTAAGTTTTTAGCGATAAACTGGATAATCGTGAATTAGTCTGGATTAACATATAGCGTAGCTACGATAATAAGCAATATGTGCTACATCTTGTCAAAACTTCAAAAACTCATAACTTCGCACACAGAAGAAAGTAATTTGAATGGTATTTTCTATATGTTCATTTTTTATTATCTATTTTTGAACTATTGTACCAAGAATGGCCTCCCCTGTGTCTAATCCTTACATAATGCATATTTAATGATCTGAAGTCACCATGACCAATACAATTAGGCCGAATTCTCGGGGTGAAAATCTTGTCACCTTCGGTCCCGCTAAACCGGTCTATAATCTGACTATGAATAATCGTGCAATCAATATGTCAACAAAGTTCTCCAATAAAATTTGCCAATTTAATAGTTCAAGCTCGAAATAGGCTAGAAATCGATGACTTATTTCTTTATAGTGCGGAGCCATATTTGCGTAGATGCGAGTTGGATCCCGCGCAGCTATTTAAAATTTGGCCAATCAGCGGACGCGCTTGCAGGGTTCGGTCAAATATTCTGGGGTCAAGTGCCAGGTCATCGCATTTGTAAACAAAGCCATGTGCACGATTTACCTTGCAAATTGCTCGCGATCGGGACGAACAGAGATTAAATGAACCCCAAACACGCCCCATCTGTGTAGAGAAGTGGTGTATGAGAGCCACAAAAGGTATTTTGATCACACTGACATAAAATGTGGCAGTCAGTCAGGTTTTTTCGACACTGATTAAGGATATTGGACCAGTCGATTTCAGTAGAAAAATGCCTTAATGTCAAGGGAGATTACAGAGAATACAAGGTCACTGCTTCTATAAGTGCAATTCTAATAAAATCATTCATTTTACATAACAAAATACTTAAAATCTGTCTAGCCTGCTGTCTTAATAATGATCATGGATAGGCTAGTGTATAGCTAAGATTAAGAATGAAAAAACATATTTTGAAATAAAGGTTGGGAACTTAAAAAGTTGCAGAAATATTAAGAATAAATGCTTAAATTATTTGACTTAGCTCAGAATTTTGCATCTACAATGTATAAGCTTACAATAGATATATGAATTCAAATAACACATGACTGTAATTAAAAGCTGTCAAATTTCATTCTCATATAGAAAAATGGGTTTTGTCTGCAATTGCGAATGAACCAGATGCCCCCCCCCCATCAATATGGGGCTCACCTACAACATAGTGTACATGTAATCATCGATAAAACTGCCAAACACACTTTCAATGTTCGAATCTTGCTTCTGATTAATAAATATTATCAAAACAGCAAAAGTGTTATTGGTGCTTTAAATAAAATAATAAAAATGCTGTTTTTATTTCGCACTGGACTAAATTGTCCCTCTTTTGTGTGGCCTCCGCTCGAAAATACTTGGATTTTTTCTTGCAAATTTTACAGATCTCTGATAAAACTGACTTCTTTAACTCTGATTTAGTAGTATCAAGTACTGCACCATGATGTGATTCCTTTGGTGAGATTAATGAAGGAGTAGGGGTGAATGAGACACACTTTTAGTTTTTAAAGTTGTTGAAGTACTAGGCCTAGTAGTAGGGGTTATGGACATAAAGGCCCTTAACCAAAATGGCACAAGTATTTGGTCACAACGGTCAAAGGAACCATATGTTGGACCCCAAAATGACCTACTTTGTGTCGTCTGGACATTAATGTTCAGCTCATGTTACTTTATCAGTGGGGTGTGAAGGACTTAATTAGGGATTATCAAATACTTTGATTAATTAGTATCCCCCTCTTTCCTTTGAATCACAGCATGCAATGTTCTGGGTTGACTTGGATGGTTATATTCAATTCTTTCATTCACAATTTTTTCTGAACTTATGGTCTGTAGCCTATATATGATGCACCTTTATAATATTTATTTATTACTTCTACTAGTTGCAATAGAAGTGGTCATATCTTGTTGAAGGTTTGGTGAAATCGTTTTTAAAATATTATGTTATGAGTGAATTGTTATTTTTGTCGAATGATTAATATACTAATAGTAATAGTCAGTTGTTAAATAATGTTTGGTAAAATATATTATGACCACATCACAGTAATAGTCTGTGGTGACAGTTTTAGTTTCGGTTGGACTGAATGTAGACGCTGCCTTCTCACTCTTTTTTCTTTCTCGCATCTTTTAAATGTTTTGTTCCTAAAACATCTATAAAACATTAGGTGAAATCCAAAACCACTGCCGACTGTATCTTCAATATAATATCCTTATTAATAAATCCATTTGTATCGAAAAATGCTGCAATTAGGCCTAGTGCAATGGATTGGTCATTTCCATCCAATTGAAACAAGTCTATAGCTACCTCACGACATTTGTCTCACTTTGTGTTTGTAAAGGGTTCTGCACCTATCTTAATTACTGTCTAAGTTAACAATACAAGTTAATTGAGCCTTTGTCGCCATTTCGTGTGGCTTCTACATGTATAACTGCAATGTGTTCCTCGTGAAGCACGCCATTTTGTGTTTACCAACAACACACGCGAATACCGTGATTGGTCGATTGTGGAAAAAACGATCACGTGACGCCGCGAACAACGCTGAATTCTGCCCCGTGACCTCGCGCACTATGAATTTTACTATCAATAAATAGTCCGGATTTCAAAGAAGAATATCACCGAAGAACTATGAAATTTTTTGGAGAAAATTACAATAACCGAATATCTCTATATGATCTATACACTTACAAAATTTCTTCTAGACCGGATTTGTAGGAACGAAAATATTTTTTCAACGACAATTTGTGCCCATGGAATGCGGCCTAAATCTCTGCCATCCTATTTCACTGCAATTGTACTTTGTAAAAGAGTGAGAATTTAAAATATTATGTCTTTTCTTGTCCAATCAAAATAAGGCAGGTCACTAATTATTTCTCATTTTTGATGCGATGATATTTGTAGGTACGGTTACATTCTCTGTGCTAATTGGTATGGAAGCCTATAACTACCATTCATAATTTCTTCTTTTCGCCTCTTTAAAACACGAAAGTCGAAAAGTCGAAAAGTAGAAGTTACGACAAAATGTGAGGCGACAACACGCTATACAAGCCAAAATCAACTCGAAAATAGGAAATTAAGAAATAACACACAGCGAGAATAGCGCCCCTCGTTTTTTCATAATTTCTTATTTTCGAATTGCATTTTGGCTTGTATAACGTCTTGTCGACTTTCGACTTAGTCATATTTTTGTATTTATTGATGTCAGTAAGAAGGCGCCAACACGCATACCAAGCCAAAATGCAACTCGAAAAGTGGAAATTAACACACCACGCTATTAGCGACTTTTCGCCTCGGAAGTTGTTGTAGTCTCAGTTTTCCAGGTCGCATTTGAATACTTGCAATCAGGGCTCACACTGTATTTCATTTTTTTCCGTCAAAATGGATAATAATTTTTATATAAAAAAAATGTTCATATTCTTTTCCGTCAAAATGGATAATAATTTTTATAAAAAAAAATGTTCATATTTTTTTTCCGCCAACTGGGATATTTTATCTGCCAAAAATGTCGGATAAAAAAAACACACCTTAGGCTACAACAATTTAATTTATTATATAGGCCTATTATAAAACAAATTTCCCGTACCGATATATGCAATATTAAAACAACATACACGGGAATTGGGTGGTCTAGTGATTTAACACATGCGCGTTGTAGCCTAAGGTGTGTTTTTTTTATCCGACATTTTTGGCAGATAAAATATCCCAGTTGGCGTAAAAAAAATATGAACATTTTTTTTATATAAAAATTATTATCCATTTTGACGGAAAAAAATGAAATACAGTGTGAGCCCTGATTGCACGTATTCAAATGCGACCTGGAAAACTGAGACTACAACAACTTCCGAGGCGAAAAGTCGCTAATAGCGTGGTGTGTTAATTTCCTAATTTCTACTTTTCGAGTTGCATTTTGGCTTGGTATGCGTGTTGGCGCCTTCTTACTGACATCAATAAATACAAAAATATGACTAAGTCGAAAGTCGACAAGACGGTATACAAGCCAAAATGCAAGTCGAAAATAAGAAATTAGGAAAAAACGAGGGATGCTATTATCGCTGTGTGTTATTTTTTAATTTCCTATTTTCGAGTTGCATTTTGGCTTGTATCGCTTGTTGGCGCCTTCTTACTGACATCAATAAATACAAAAATATGACTAAGTCGAAAGTCGACAAGACGGTATACAAGCCAAAATGCAAGTCGAAAATATGAAATTAGGAAAAAACGAGTGGCGCTATTATCGTTGTGTATTATTTCTTAATTTCCTATTTTGGCTTGTATAGCGTGTTGTAGCCTCACTTTTTGTCGTAACTTCTACTTTTCGACTTTTCGACTTTCGTGTTTTGAAGGGGCGAAATATATGAATGGTAGTTATAGGCTTCCATACTTTGGGGATCTAGAATTGAGAAAGAAGTTTCTGCAAGGATATGATGAATATTACAGGAACAAACACGATCTGATCCATATTATTTCGATAATGTTCGTTTAAGACCATCATTTTTTTAAAGGGGGGGCGTGGGTTAAAGTAAATATATAATAAAATCCTCAACCTACAAGTATTTAAATAAAGTTGATCTAATTGTTTTTATTTTAAATATTTTCATAAGCTCGCCATTAAATAAAAAATGAAGAGATAGAAGTCTTTGAATTATGTAGAAATATTTCGAAGCAATAAGTGACCTCAAGTGGATTTTTAAAAATAGTTTCATAATCGTGTGTTTAATCTTTAATTAAATAAACAAATCAATCAATACTAAAATACAGAATCTAATATATAAATAAATAAATACACAAATAAATAATAAAATAAAGAATTAATTAAATATAAATAAGCTAATAAATAAACATATTTCTTACCAGTAGATAAATATGATGGAAAGTCATATTGGTGTCGCAAAGCTTAGTATTGTGAAGTGCGTTTTCTGTTTGCCTTATTTATAGCCGACTGTTGTTCACTCTTTTCACTTGATCCTGTTACAAATACGAATATGATTGGTACAAATCTGAGGACACAACTCAGTAATATAATAACTTTGTAAAAGCACGCACCTGGCTGACATGTTTACATATACTCAGCCAAATTAAAAACTTGACACTGATGAATTTCAACAAATTTTTTTTTCTGGTAAGTCACATAAATTTTAAAGTGTTTCTAACAATAGTAAGTAGTAAGAAGTCTTTAATTTCATAAAATTGTAAAGTCACGTGGATCACGTGACTTTTAAGCATATAAAGATGAAAAACCTGAAAAACACGTGCAAACACAAACTCGTGAGGTCAAACGATGCAAGTTTGCTTAAACTGAACACGCACACGTAACTTGAACTGGAAAAACAAATTAAAATTGTTATTTTCATCTTTGTTAGAAAATGCCGCACCTTTCAAATGTAGAAAAAATGAAATGAAATGAAATGGAGTTTAACGTCCTACTGTTCTGCTCCTAACCTGGGCTAATGAAGACGGGCATACGTCATACAGTGTACTATGAGGGAAATTTTGCCCGGACAGCGGCACTACGGCCTACTCTTATATCGAATTCCAACTGCCAAGGGATCATTTACGTGCACGCCAATGTGTACACGGGACCTCGGTTTTTCGTCCCATCCGAATGACTAGACAGCTTTCCTTGTCAGCCCCTCCGTCCTGCATCACTGACAAGGGAGAACCACGCCGGAAAATCTGGATGAACTTTCTCGGCCAATGCAGGGATCGAACACCCGACCTCCAGGCTAGCGAGCTAGCGTCTTACCCACTTAGCCACGTGATCCCCTTCAAATGTAGAACGTCTACGTGCTATAGGTAGGCTCTATGCTGGTCAGTCTGTGGTCACTGTTGCAAGAGCCTTTAATTGTTCACGCCAGACAATAATTAATCTTAGAATGAGAGTGCTTCAAACTGGAACTATTGCCGACCGCCCAAGGGCGGGAGCGCCACGTGTGACGTCACTACAGGAAGATCAAGCAATACGATTACGTCATTAGAAACAGATTTGTCACTGAAACCTCCACAAGTAGAGAGATGTTTGGTGGAAGGGTAACTGCACAAACCGTTCGAAATTGCTTGCAGGCTGCTGGTCTTCGAGCTCGGAGGCCCTATAATGGACCAATATTGACAGATCTTCATCGCCGTAACCAACTTGTGTGGGCCACAAAACACATATTATTTACTCAAAGACAGTGGAATTCGGTTGTCTTTAGTTACGAATCTCGATTCACTTTGAGATTTGCCGATGGCAGGGCCCGAGTGTACCGCAGACGAGGTGAACGTTACGCTCAAACATGCGTCAGAGAAGTTGACCGATTTGGTAGCGGCAGCGTCATGGTTTGGTTTTCTTTTTGTGCACATGGACGTTCTCCTCTTGTTGTTGTCCAAGGGAACTTAAATGCTGTCCAGTACAGGGATCAGATTTTGCAACTTGTTCTTCTTTCGTTTATGCAGAGACATGGGCCTGGACTAACGTTTCAACAAGACATTAATGCTCGACCCCATACAGCAATTGCTACCCAGAATTTTTTAAGAAATGCCGGTGTCCAAGTCCTGGATTGGCCGTCGCTTAGCCCCAACCTTAATCCTATTGAACACATCTGGGACGAACTGGGTCGACGTGTTCGTCAGCAAGTGAATCCACCACTGACGTTGCAGGACCTTCAACATGCTCTTGCTGAGCAGTGGCGACGTCTTCCTCGGGTAGTGTTTACTAATGTTCTGAGATCCATGAGAAGACTTTGTGTGGCAGTACGAGACGCTAGAGGAGGCCACAACCGTTACTAAACACTTTATTCCGAGTGTTCTCCAAGTCTGTGAATTTCATTTTGGGAGGTACTGTGACATCACGAACGTTATCAATGTCAAGGACTTTCGGCGAGACGTATTCTTGCTTTCTGTTGATGTCAAGGTCGTCTGTGCACAACATAACACTAAAATAGTTGCCTTAAACCAAATATTAAAAATCTAGTCCCCAAAATTGCCTGATTGTAGATATTGACTGTAACATATATATTTGTGACTGTCGTTTGTCTGTCTGTTTGTCTGTCTGTCTGTTCGGGGTTGGCGGCTACACTAGGTCTGCCCCGAGTCTGACATTTGGGGTATAGGGGTAGCTCGGACCGGGGAGTAACATAGGCCAGGTGGCGTTAGTCTACCACTTCCGGAGTTATGACCCCCGAGCGAAGCCCGTTTGTTCGGGGTTGGCGGCTACACTAGGTCTGCCCCGAGTCTGAAATTTGGGGTATAAGGGTAGCTCGGACCGGGGAGTAACATAGGCTAGTCTACCACTTCCGGTTTCGGAGTTATGACCCCCGAGCGAAGCCGGGTATTCTGTTAGTTTGGATATAAAATACACCCGTTGTGTAATCCGGTTATCTAGATATAGCTATGAACATGTATATAAGTTTATGATGTGGCTATTGGGTCTGAAACCAATACTCGAAAATAATATGAAATAAATTCAATAAATTTGACTTCATTACAAATTAGACCCCTTTGTGAACAAACACTTAGAAATTCGTGTGCTCTGATTATAACCAGGGCTGGATTAAACATATATTATGCAAGAGCTAAATCCGCCTATTGCAGATCTTTCTCTAGGCCTGAAATGTTTTCTAAATTATTTAATTTGACATCAGTTAACTTATCCAGGCCAGAATCAACTCTCGATGGCATCGGATTTCTCCGATATTAAATAGATTTGTACAGTTCAGCCATATTTTGATTTAAGCTAAAAGTGGAGGAGGGAGACTTAGCTTCGAACAACCAGTACGCTGGTTGAAATTATTGCACACGTCTTGTCAAACCTTCAAAGGCTAATATCTTCGCTCGCAATAGAGTAGTGTGAATGAAATTTTCACATTATTATTCATTTTACATTAGCTATTTTCAAACTATTATAGCAAGAATGGCTAGCTCTTTATCTAAATCTAACATAACTTATCTGTAAGCTTGCATGGAGCCGAAAATGTCACCGGGGCCTTTGCAACAATAGTGAAAAGGAAGCCCATTCTTGTCACATTCACTCAAATGCAATTTGTATGTCAGTATGATAGATATATGTAGATCCCAGACAATATATGCGTCCAGGGCACTAGCATCTACACCTGTGGTTTAAGACAAAAGCCGTGGTTCTTTATGGTCTGCTTAAATAAATATCACCACGTTATTATGCTGAAGATTGGAATTCTCATTTCAGAAAGACAATATCCAGTATACCTTCGCCGGTGTATTTAGTGACGAGAAAACGATAAAGGGTACGCTGTTGGTGGCAAATATTCATAGGCAGACACAGGAATACCATTACCAACCCTTTTTACCCTACAATACCATGTACATCCCATAAGAAATGGTGTAGGCCTATCAATTCATTATTTTTTTTCATACAAGATACCTTAGCTGACGCGGTACGTAACAACTGGTGCGAAGGCGGAGGAGAATTCATTGCACATACAAGACGATATTGTCTTTTATCGCTGTCCATTTATCATAAATATCGAAGCCTAATTTATTCTCGGATTATTTATTCCGTGGTTTTTATCTTAGAAACTGCTGTACGTTTAAGCTCCACATCAAGTTTATCAACATATACAACAAGCGCTCACTAACGCTGAGAGATCAGACAATCTTCCAGTGCAACCATTGACGTCACTCGAGCAGATATCCCTATTCGTCGGGTTGCCGATTAGGGAAACCTTTACATTTTTGTCATGTATGCGCTCGATGTTTTTTTTTTAGGGAATCCAGTATTTTTCTAGTAAGATTAGATGTTTCTACTTGCCATATATACCAAAATTGCTATACCCTATAAATACTTTTTGTGGGAAAGTATCTTTAACAGAACCGTAAGACATAAAAAAACTCCGAATGACCTTTGCCGCTATTTTGTCCAAATTATAATTGTTGTATTCAAAGCATCGACAATATAGAATGATAGAAACTTCAGATTGGTGAGGAAAGTGTCTAAATAGGTAATCTTTGGATTTAGGAGAAAGGGTGTAGAATTAAGTGTGATGGCGGTGAGCTCGTTCTCTCATGAAGCAAGCTAAAGCGAAAGTATCCCTTTCACAGAGTATAGTTGTGTGCTTTCGTAAATCATCAACTATACAGAAAACAAAACACGTTATATCTCAAAATTTGATCTGTATAAACACATATTATATGAAATGCAGACATACACCAAATTCACAAAGGCAATCAACAAATCAAATTGGATTAAATCAACAATTTTAATTATTATCAAAAACAAAGAGGTTTAGTCATGTTCACATAATATAAAAATTCAGTTATATTTTTATAGATTACCAGTACCGTTATAGATGTCTTAAAATTTATAATTTATTAAACACTGTACATGACCATTTTAAATCGAAAGTTAAAACAACTCTGACATCAAGGATCATTATATAATGAGATTCAATAAGTGGGAATGCAAAAGTTTATCATTAAGCTAAGGCTCTACATCTTCTATCCCAAAATGGACATGGACGCCCATATATTGGTGTTGTACAAATAGTACCGCATGATCCAGCAGAGCAACATTTCTGAATTCCAGTGCAATCGTTGTCAGTTAAACATGGACGGGCACATCTTGACACTCGTCTGCGGATGTAATCCCGTCTTTGACGCGGACAACTTCCAGCTTTGACATTATCAGAGCCGTTTTCGGGTGTTTGACAAGTTGTACCACACCCGTTACTACAACATTTTTTGTTACCGACACAATCGCGATCACTACTGCAACCATGTACACAGGTACCCACAGTACCAACTGGTAATCGGGGACAGGATCCAGGCTTGCCAATGACTGTAAAAAATATTAAGAAGAGCATTTTTATGTGAAAGTAATACACTGGCAGTAAATAATGATTTTCATGAATTGGAATGCTTTCGCTTAAACAAAGTCTTCCAATTTAAATCCATTTATTAAAAAGTTTATTGGTATATACAATGAAATTAGGTAATAGTGGCACAGATAATAACAATAACCTATTCTATCCCTAATCCGTTTTATCAGTGTCATTGCAACAATATCCCTAGCTAACGCGCTTTATCTTTGCCACTGCAACCCGATCTCTAACGCGTTTCACCTGTGCCATTGCAACCCTAACCCTAACCCGATTTTCACGTGGCTTTGCAACTTTAACATTAACCCACGTGTCATTGCAACTTTAACATTAACCCATTCTCTGCCTTTCCTACCGTGCCGTTATTACATGTTTTAGTAAATACGATACTTACATAAACTACTGCCCCAACAGCATTTTCCTCTGCCAAGGAATCGACCTACACAGTTCGTACCATCAGGACAACCACGTCCAGCCGAACACGTGATTTCTCTACGGTTAGCATCTAAAACTGGTTCACCTATAGGACAGGTCCTGGGCTGTTGAGGTACTGGTGCTGAAATAAGTATTTAATCATTAAAAGACAACGATTTTACACACATATAGATTTAAATCCTCAAATCGTTTCTTTACCACGTCAAATGATGAAATCTTTAAATGGGTATTAGGTGGAATTAGATAACTATAATAGCCAAAACATAGATAATGAAAACAGAATATGTTGAAAATGTCAGTCAAATTTCTTCACTCTGAACCGAGATATTAGAGATTCAATTTTAGGCTAGCCTCGATCGTCATTACTATTGTTGGTACAATAAACAAAGTCTCGATTAACCATGGGTAAATTATCCATGACAAAATGTATTCAAATCCACTAAATATCGCAGGCTAGCGCTGGTATCGAGAGTTGATTATGGTCTGGATAAGTTAAAGGAATGTACTCACGTCCACTACATACTGCAACTGGATAACAGGGACTAGTAACACAGAAGACTTGTTGTATTCTACATCCAGTCGTTCGACAATCCACTAACTGTAGAAAAAATATTATAAATTAGTTACAGCACATAATATTAAAACAAATTGTGAAGTTGGTTTTACAATACCAATACATTTCTCTCGAGGCTAGACGGTCCGTGTGATTCTTAGAAAGACTAAGACTCCTAATGGACTGGTTGTATACATTATAAAATGTAAGGTCCTTTAGAGGTTTTATTGTATCTATAAAGGCCTAAAACAATCCCCTATTTCGTTTAGCCGAAATCACCGATACTAAACGTTTTTTCTCATTTCCCAGGTAATATAAACCTGTCTTGGCGGGGCTTTCTGCAGACAATTTCCAATTTTTTGTTTACAACAGTCAGTATCGGGGGTATTGTCCAGAACCTTACTCAATAATTAAGCCAGAAATGCTAGGAAATAAATAACAAGACACTTTATGGTATTTAAAATGACATGACATATTAGTTCAGTAAATGTTATCTAATTGTTACTCGGAATTTTTTTTTATGGCATTCAAATAACCGTAAACACAGGTAGTATTGCAAGCTACAAAGTATGTTGGTTCTGTGGATTTGTATAGTACGTTACTCTTATTTCTAATATATGTATTATGAAAATAAGTCTTACATTACATGGGTATTCTGCTGAACTCACGGCCCCGATTCCAAGACAGCATAACGCCTGAAAAAGGAATATAATTAAATTAGGAAATGAACTAGTTTACAGCTTTAACGCTTTTTTGCGGGGAGATGGTGATGGTGTGTGTGTGAGGGGGTGGGGGGTACGTTGTTATGTGAAAATAGTAATTTTTGATATGTTCTGACATAACTATACAGTTATATCGAATAACCCATTTAATAACCTATGGTGGTTTGAAAGGAGTTCAACGTGAACACTAGTCTAAAAGGAACCACAGAAGCCCAGTGCTTATGGCGCTGGCTAACTAACTGGGGGATGAGTTTGATCCAGTTGTTGGTCTGAAAGTTAATCGGATATATTTTAGTCAGGTTTCCCTAGTGTTGTAAGACAGAGATCCCATCCTATAAAAAATGTCAAGTAATTCCGAAGGGACAAAAAACCAACGTAGGCAATTTTGGGATTTTTAATATTTAGGTGAATTAAATATGACGTTATATAAAATTATTGCTGAAAGTATATCTTATTAATTTACATACACAATACGGCTTGATATAATTGCAGCGATATACATAATCCCAAATTATTCAAACATTTTCGGACCAGAGGCTGTTAACCCGTTTTATCAGTATACCTTTTTTCTGAAAACACATTTCTTTAAGTTAATTAAATATTACATACAAACAGTAAATGACAGATATGTGGAGCTCATAAAAAGTTAAAAATGTAACCCTGTAAAGTTAACATACAATAAAAACTATTAACTTGACAAAGTATTATAAATATTTCTACAGGATGAATCTTAATAATAGAAAAATAACACCTTACCAGTAAAGTAGCTCGAATGAACATCATAAATAATATATACTGAAATTATAATATCTATTAGGTTCAACCTCCTGTATTTATATAGAGGTGGCCAATCCGAATTTTCACAACATCCTGTTACGATAACGTATTATCCAGGACATTGACCCAGATTGATTGATTAGAAAATCCGGTTGTTATACACCTGAAACTAGATCAAGGTGTGTTAAAACAGTTCATTGAAATCGCAATAAGAAAACCCATGTAAATATATATATGTAAATATACAACTTCAAAACATGTTTATCCCAAGTCTTTATGGCATATGAACGATCAGCAACTGCGTAAATATGGTTATGATCTTTCAACAATATTATTATCATGTTTCACCCGCTTTAACATTTTATAAATGATATTAATCACCTACTGATAATAATATAAGAATTGTATGTGGCAGTTAAAATATGTTGTTTGTTAAGATATTATTTTATCAATCGATGTCTTTTTAAAGAGTGAGCAAATAATTATACACCTGGGCCCGGTTCCTAGAAAATTCTTAAAGTAAGCACAAAGTCATGCTTCACGTTTTCTTACGTAAGAAACTTATAAAAATACCGTCCCTAGAAAATTCTTAAGACAATTCTTACATAAGCACAAGTCAAGTATAAGTCGAAGCACATTGTGACTGGTAAAGTTTACCATAAACTGAGACTACGATGCTCTTTAACGCCATAAAAACAACTTTGGTATGCGAATTACCTCATAAATTTATCGTCTGCTTCATTGACGTCATATATAATATACGGTTGATTTAGATGCATTTGACATGTCCCCTATACACATATAAAATGTGCCACAAGATAAAAAAACGCAGACACATACAAACTAAATGAATAATTGTGAGAGCGCCTGATCTTAAAGTAGCCTGTGTGTTTGTAGCCTATTGTTTACTAATTGGCAAATAAATAAAATGGTTTCAGGGTAGAAGCGAAATTTTCTATAGCATTCTTAATTTCTTCTGGAGAAGGATTTTCTCTGTCTTGTAATAATTGTCTGTTTGGTATCAAAAGGTGTCGGAAATGCCGTCGAAAAACTCTACGGTCAGCCATCTTTTTGAAGCAGAAACAGACTTAAGGTTGGTAAGCAAACCGTATACCTTGCTTGGGACTTGTGCTTAGATTGACTATGTTTAAGAACGAAGTTGTGCTTAAGTTTTTTCTTGGAACGCATAATAACGTTCTTGTGCTTACAATGAAGTCTACTTAAAATCTTAGCACAAGAACGTTCTTAAGAATTTTCTGGGAACACAAAATAAGGTAAGTTTACTTAAATGTAAAGTCTACTTAAATCTAAGCACAAGAACGTGCTTAAGAATTTTCTAGGAATCGGGCCCTGAGCTTATCATGACGTGGGTCGAGAAGTATACTGGATATTTTAAGCGAAGCTGACAAGTACATGGTGTTGCCGGCTAGATCTATATATTAAGTCCACCTACAGATTTCGTCAAGGTCATGAGATATAACAGCGCTAACCCTTACTCTAACCCACAATCCTCAATCCTCTGCAACGATCATGTCTCCTAACCCTGTTTACATCTCGTGACCTTGCCTAAATCTGCAGGTGGTCTTAATATTTAGATCTGACCTAGTGTTGCTTTGTTCTGGTGGGACGAAAACCGATGTCCACACATGTATGCATTGAGGGACACGAAAAAAGAACATACGACAAGAAGGTAACCTCCAGTCAGTAACTACGTCGTTTCGGTACATACATTATCGTGCTGTATCCTTATTTCAATAATTAGCTAAGAGACCTTTATCAACGAAAGCAAATCGGAATGAAAAATAGTCCACCTCATCTTATACTTGCTTTATTATGCAATCGTATAATATTCAGTTTCAATCGAATGGTTTCATACTAGGTCAACAAGTAAGGCTCGTATTAATGTATTCATAAAAAATATCACGTGACTTGATGATATTCACAAAGGGGCTTCTTCTATTTGCATTGCGTACCATTTTTATGTGAATGGAAAGGTTGGGGCAGCGGATTTGATTGAATAGCTACTCGACTGAGAGCTGACATATTAGATCAGATCAGAAATGGAGCATTTGCCATTGTCTAGAAAGAAGCACGAAGTTATCTAAGCGAAAACTGCAAAACGCCTTATTTATAATATACAGCAGTGGCTACGCTGTAGTAAGCGCACCACACGAGTTATTATTAATACAGGCAGAAATTATAACGACATACTAAACTCGATTCGTTTTATTGCATCTCAATAAATAGCTCATCACCAGCCAAAGTTTTCTTTTGGAAGACAACATTTTAGTAATTCATTTACAATCAGTAATTTGTACGTTCAAAATCTAAGAACAATTCAGATTAGTCAATGTTAGGTATGGATAGTATACTTTATCAAATAAAATGGAAGATAGTTTGGTGTATTTCACACCAATATAAATACAGCTGTAAGTCTATGTTATATTTATTGCACATCTGCACAACCCCCATATATCCTCCTAAACCATGGACAATTTACTTTAGATTCTATGGGTACACCAGAGGCTTGTGGCAATGGCCGCTTTTCAGATAGCGGCTGCGTTCTGTATGTATCACGAACGGGAGGTCGACAGATATTACCACATCCAGATACATTACAACATTTGTAATGGCCGAAACACTCGTCGTCACTCAAGCATTTCTTTCGAAAGCTGCATACCAAAGTCTTCGGAGGTTCAGTTGCGCATTTCCCAGGGCGATTAGCTCGAACAGCGGTTCTCGTTGGAACAACAGGATCAGTACATTCTTGGCCACATCCATTGGAACAGCATTTACGTCCTCTAGTACAGTCAGAATCATCACCACATTTACGTCTGCAGACTCCAATTACTTTGGGTCTAGGGCAGATCTTTTTCGATTGATCAGAATTTCCTGTTCAATAAAAAAAAACGAAGTAATTTTAAGGTTGTGAAGTTGTGATGTGAAGTTTTATCTGAAAATAGTTTTAACATTAATTGATAGCTTCCAAACATATGTAGTCATGTTGCCTTTTAGAATCAGTACACCTAGGGAATATTCGATTGAAGGTTCCGGAACTCAATTGTCACAAACTCAAAGTGCTGCAGTTTGGGGTAAGGCAATTTTGCTCTTATTTCTAGAACGAAAGTACATCGAGGTTGACTTATTTCGTCTAATTACTAAACTAAAATGTACTTGATCAGACATATTAATTGTGGAGCAGTAATATTTACAGTAAGCTGATAGTGAAAAAAAAAACGTAAATCAATCAGGAGGTAATTGGTAGTTAAAAAACTGCTAGCCGTATGTGGACACTGTGCTTGACAAAGTACATACTGGATGTGGGCGTGGCCTGCCTCTGTTTTTGTACGCCCGTGGGCAATCGCCAAGTTTGTTCTACAAATTGAAAACAAGTATGGCCATTGTTTAGGGCGTTAACTTTATTTTTGTGTACTTATTTCTGTAGTTTGGTAATTGGAGTTCAGCTTTAAGAAATTATTCTGAATTTATTAGTTGCTGTTCCTGAAGTTGAGTAGGGAGTAAGCGACATGTCTAATGTCATAAATGTTTGTTACATGTAATTTTAAATGTATTTGTGTAAAATATTTTGTCTTGGTGGCAAATGAAGTCTTGGTGACATAATCTTCTTTTCTTTAAATGGTAAATGATATTCTTGGTGACGTGTATTTTCTTGACTTGGTGACAAACGACGGTCTTGATGACATTGTATATATAGAAAAAATAAAGGTTAAAAATGCCTAAAGAAAGTACTGTTGTTTAATTGTCTACATGTTTCGCCTGAGCTTGTCAAGACATACAAAAACAATATATATATATATATATATATATATGTTAAACAACTCATGAATTGTCAATCAAACTACGTGATCTATCTCATAATATGTCCGGGCTGCGAGGGAACTTATATAGGAAAAACCCAAATGATGCTAAGGTTAAAGTAGCTATGTCTCTAACTCAATATCATCCAAAATCTGCAACATTGAAAACACAAATTATTAGTCAATTTAAATCAACATTGATGCTGTGATCTTACCGGAAAAAGATGGGCTTCTGATATCCAATATTTAAGACAAAATAAACATTTTGCCATTGGTACACAAATCGTGTACCATAATGCGCTTCAGCCCCAGTTCTAGCAAGAGACTCGAGGAACGAGGCTAGACATATTGCACCCAACCAAACGGCGTATGTAGACTGGAATAACCAGGCGCTAGAAATTTGCATTCGATTGAGACTGCGGGCTTATTTCGCGGAACATAACTGATTTGAAATTAGAGTAAAAACGGAAACCATTAAATGTATATCAGTTTATATACATTCATATTACAGTATTATATGAGTTGCGACCCACTTGTGTCAATTTCTAGGTCCCAAATGTTAGCGACTTAGCTCCTTTAAGAACGAATCTCCACAGACAACACATACTTAAACCCAAATACAGGATGATTCCACTCAGCGAGTATCTTGAAGTATGTGGTGGAAGCAAATTTAGTGTCTTCCCTATGTATAGAGTCAATAACAATAATAATTACTTTTAGTGGTCAAAGAAAGCTATTTTATTGAGAAATACCACCCAAAACTTAATTCCCATAACGAATGATTAATGGGAATAAAATGGTTGTATTAAATGTTTGTAGTTTATAAGCTATGAAACAACCTCCTTTGTAGAATATTCTTAATGTAACCATTACGTTATGACGTCATAATAGTTATTGTTTATAATTAATATTATAATAAATGCCTGAGGACCAACTTCGGTTGTGAAAACGTTAGCACAAATTATGTAGTTTCATTTCGCTAACATAAATTTTAGGTGACGGATATTGAGGTTAAAATAATGAAAATCTATGGCAGTAAATTGTAGAATGTTGTAATTAATGTAATGCCTATATGATCATGACAAAGTAATGCAGAAGCTGTATCAAGCTTGTATCGTGTAGTGTTTGTGTTATTCGCTTCACCA